TAATTGTTTTAAAAATATTTAAAAAAAAAACCCACACATTTGGCGATTCAACATTTTTCGCGTGTACAATTCAGTGACATCAATTACATCAATCATGTTGTGCAACCATTGCCAATATTTTTAATTAATAAATAATGTATAATTAATTTAATAATTGTCGAATTTCCCACCACCCTCTCCTACATCTTTTACAATACCATTTGTTCTTGTCCTTCAATCTGCTAGATTTCACCTGTGGTCCTCCTAGAGGCATGACAGCATAGGTTAGATGACTCTTGCAGGTCTCTAGGCTCTGTGATTCCAAAACACTTTATTCACGAATTCCTTGTGAGATGCTGCCAGTTTCCTACTGGACCCCAAATCATTGGCACAAACTGAAATTTAACATCAAATACATCAAGATGACTAATAATTTGATGGGATTTGAGGGGAGGGAGGAGAGTGTGTGGGAAACTATTCTCAATCTGACTTCTTGATTCTGATGAGTCTGTGATAGTCCTTCCCCACCCTTCCTTACCAGGGAGAAGTAGACGTTCAGTGCCAATCAACCTGAACCAAGCTGTCTTGGTTCTGTCTCATCTCACCACCAGGGCTTACCTGATGAGTAGGAAGCAGTATGAAAAGTCTGAATTAATGGGTCTTGGAAAATCTGCCCACCTTAACAAATCTTTTCCATTGGCTAGTCTCTAACACTTGAGATGAACTAGTAGATGTTTTTTCTTTTGTGTCAGGTAATGTTTCCTGTAAAGGATTAAGGATAGGCTTAAAACTAATTTGTGACATTGGAAGCCAGGATAATGGTTACCCTTAGAAGATGGTTTGGACTTCCAGGGAGATTAGGGGCTGCTGATAGTGTTTTATTTCTCTCTCTGGGTGTTCCCATTTTGAAAAATTCATGGGGCTTTATAGTTATAATTTGTGCATTTTTCTGTATGTTTATAATGCTTCAAAATAAACTTTACTTTAAAAAAATTTTTTTTAAACTATATAGCCTTGGGAAGCATTCACAGATATTTATAACTTAGCTAAAACAAGTTGGTGAGTTTATTTACAAAGAGAGCAGTGTGCAGAGTACTGGATACTGGGAGGTAGAAGAGTAGATGATAGCAAAGGTGAGAGGGTAAATCTGTCTTCTTTGAGGTTCAGCCTGGGGCTCATTCTGCCCAGACTCTGCTGGGTGCAGGGCACAAGTCCCCAGTGAGTTGGACAGATGTACTTTTCCTTCAATTCCCTTACCAGTTCCCTTCAAAGGGGTAAGAGGTGAGCAGGTTGTAGAGAAGACTGGAATGAAGAATGGCTTGTTTGCTTCAAATCCAGAACAGGAAACAGGAGCAGGTGGTTCCCTTGGACAGAGTTAGCTTCAGGGAAAGCATAGAGCCACCCCTTCCTTTGGAAAGCAAGCCAATGATGATTTCTTCCAGCATGACCTGGCTCCAGTTAGACAAGAGGAAAACAATAAACTGTGACCACCTGGGTGCCAGATGTACAGAGCTCTGTTTTCTGTGTTGGAAGAGAGAGGTGAAGATATCAGCCAGGAAATCTCTCCAACTCACCTTCCCCACAACCAGAAGATGCCTCTTCATCCCCTCTTCTGTACAGTCCGT